GACAGCTGGTCAAGAGGAATCCGCCGTCGTCTTCTGGTGGAACCGACCTTCGAATCTCTTCACCCAAACCTTTCACTCGAAATGGAAGTAAGCTCAACAAGTATGGAACAAGAGATTCCTCGAAAACCCAACTTTTTTTCGCGTCCATAATCTTGGTCTGCATTACTAATCATAAATATTAATGCAAGTTAGATATTGTTAATACATTTTGACTTCGAGCAAGACTATCTTACTTTTAAAACAATGATTCCCAATTTTGTCTAAATCAATTCAATATAATTGATGGCTATAGTACTATGATGAAAAAAATCCCTGGTGTTTATGCAAAAATAAATTTAACAGTGAAATAAGCAGATATATTGTAATAAGTATATTGAATTTCACTTGCTACTAATCCTTCTTGCCTCCGGGCCAATAAAAAATTGATTAGAATTGAGCTATCTCAAGCTCCTTGTTAGCGGACCTTATTTGCATTCCTTTATATGGTTCCTATACCTTCCAACTCATATCATTGTGGTAAAATTCTACTACCATTCTTTCATCACCTTAAACGAAATAAGGTGAATACATCTCATAGTATAAATAATTGTTCATAGATGTTGCAGTTGAATGTGAACTAAATAGTCCTTATTATCATGTTGATCATTCGTGCTAACGACTCCCCTCTGATCCTCCCTACTTTCAGGATATCCCCTTCTTGATCCAAAATCTCCTGCAGGACCATTAACTCTTCTTCATATGCATAGATTATGCATCAAAATTTGCCAATAATTATGTCCCTTCCAGTCCCATATTTTTTATCCTTTTAGAAAATTTATATGAATGTTTCACTGCGCTTGCTAATCTGTCGTTTACCCTCTTGAGTTTCAGACAAATGAGTTTCATACTTGTCGTTCATCTTTTTTTATGTATCTTTGGTAATCCATAAGCTGTTGATGGGCGTGCATCCTTTCTTAATATTTTTGCAATTTTCGTCCACACATCGATTTCGCATGTCTTTTAGCGCTTCGCGTAGAGTTCCATTGAGCTTCATAGTTGAGTCCTGTCTCGTAGTATACTTTCCACCGTTTCCAGTCTTTTAACAGTCGCTTAAAGGAAGAATTGCTTACTCGTTTGTAGGTCTCTTTCTATCCCTTCCAACTGTTCCTGTTTGTTGGTTTCTGACGTATCAAGACTCTTGAATATTATTTTCATCTCTAGTTCCCGATTTTTTAAGGGGACGTGTCGGAGACATTAGTGACATTCACTGGTATGTCTTCAAAAATGATCCTGTCATTTTAAAGTGCAAGATTCAGCCCTCCCTTTATAAGCATGGTAGATTCGGGATCAAGAGGAAGCGAGTTTAAATTTCCCACTTTATCCTGATTGTCATACTGATCAGTATATGCTGTCACCTTAGAAACCACATCAGCTGGGCGTGCTGGCTTTAACTTGCGCTTCTTATAATCCCATACCTATAAATTTATTTGTCATGCTTCTTTATTATTAAGTCCAAGATTTCACATGATTTCCTGTCAGTCATATCCTGGAGTTTTGGAAAATCTTTCAAAGTCATAACCCTGACCAGACTCACTAATTCGATCAGAGGATATTTAAAGTCCTTCTTTTAATAATACGCCAGAACTATGTTGGGTTGGTTGCTCCACGAGTGGTATCATATAAGATGTATCCACCCTATCTCTTTAAGGTGATGAAGTCTCGAAAACCTACTTATCAACGAAAAATGTTGTTGTGTAATTCACACCTCCGACTTGAAAATAGAAAGTTTATTCTTACCCTTAAAGCTGGGCTAAACAGTTTATTGAAAGTGCAAGCGTTTTCTATTTCTGGCATAACTTTCATTTCGACTGAAAAGGCGTGTGAAAAAGATTCATAAATTGGCCTAACCTGATACCTAATGAGGATTGTCTTTGACTTGTGACTGTTAGATTGTAAGGAGAAGACCTCGACTCACCGTCCTGCGACTCAAATGAATTCTACTGCCCCATCGCCAGAAGACTCACCAAAAGAACGAAACCACTCAACGTGGCCTGCTCACATTCTACTTAATTCTTATGCCTAGCCTTGCAATCATACTAAGGCATTCCATGATTTGGTTAGCTACTTTGTGCTTGACCTACATGCATCGGACGAGTGAAATTGACGCCTTAAAGGGGAGTGAATGTGGTCACAGTTTTTCCCTATGCACATTTATTAGAATGTGATTATGCTATGAGGATGCTTGTTCTAGGTCAGTGGACGCACGTGTGTTAATTGTATTAAATACTCATTCATAAGTTGACAATTTCTAGTCCAAACCATACTCGAGTTTAATCGAGCCTCCTCTTCTTACTCAGTGACTCTTACTGTTCCCTCTTTTTATCTCTCTCTCTCTCTCTATCATTCTAACTCTATCTTGACCCTAGTGTAAACATGAGACTTTTACAAGAATGAGTTCCTGCTTTGATGATGTCCAGCATATGGTGGACGTAAGCTCAGTCTGCTTTCACGTGAAGCGAGGGAGGATGTCTGGTGGACTGCGTCAACCTGGACGTAGTACCAAAACCAAACGGCCGCAGTACGACGGGATTCAGCCGTCGTCTTCTCATGGGATCAACCTAAGAATCTCCTCTTCACGCACTTTCATACGAAATGAAGATCTCTTCAGAATGTCGAGCAAAAGGATGGGTTTTTAATTAACCTATCTGGTGTTCTGTAGTCACCAGAACCAGAACAACTACCCTTCGAATCAAGCTGCGAGTCTTTTAAATTGTAATACAGAATCCAACCAAAAATGAGAATCTCTTTGTCCAGCTAACTCTGGCCCTTAAGGCCTCTCGAACCAATTCCATGGTTGCTGGCAAAGCTATCAAGGTTTAAGTGATCTCAGAATATCAAAACAAGGTAAACTAGAAGCCATCACTTACGAAAAAATCACCTAAATGTGTGGTCGGTTGAAATCACACTCACCTCCGGTATCTAATTTTGCAAGCCTAGTGATATATCGCAAGGTTTGCTTTACTACTTGGTGCTTATATTTTGCTGTATATTCATAATATAACTGCCACACTATGGATTACTATGAATAACAGGGGTTGCATGATGCATAAAGCACTACGACCAATTTGTAGGCAAGTAAAACTGGATTTTCAGTATGGAATTCTCACGACTTTGGAAAAGTGATACATTAAAAATCGATAGAAAGTTGTAACTGGAGAGTATTCATTATATCAACCTCATGGGATAATAATAAATACAAATTTAGACAAATATTCAATCATTCTATTGAACAAACTATTAATGGGCAGAATGTTACCTTCTCCCCTTATACCTAATAACTTCATAGCTCGATTGGAGGTTTTTTTTGATTGACGAGGCACTCCCAGATCCTATACCAGAGACTATCACTTTACCACGATTCATCAAAACACTTAGCCACATCATCTTGTTTAGTGCTTTGATGATTATTTTAGTGAATACAGGTTTTACGTTCGAATGGTGCCTGTCAAATTGCTGATAAATCGTGCGCTCTGCTTGCTTCAACAATCACAACTCCAAGGCAATTGCAATTCAGTTTGCTATGAGACCAATTTTTGAATCGCTTCCACTTGCCACCATCATTCCATGAAGGGAGTTTTAGAAGTCAAGCTTGGCT